AACTGCCTGCTTGCAAGGCAGGCACTTATGCCGCTCAGCTAAATCCTCAGCCCCTGCCATATTTCTTTTGAGTTGTATATATTTTCAGAATCACAAATAAAATAAAAAAGAACTTACTTTATCTATAAAAATAAGCTTCTAAGAAAAAATTGGGCTTTAGCTTTCAACCAGTAGAATTTTAACACTACTTTTAAAAAATCATCTTTTAGTTCTTTAATTGTAGTGGTTTTACTTGGCAACTATTTAACCTTTCAGTACTAGGCACATTCAGAAAGGCACACTATACTCTTTTACTATAATTTTCCAGAAATATACTTTCAAGTGTATTCTGCTTCTGATACAAACATACTAATTCCATTAAATCCTAAGAGCTGTGTGTCATCATGAAAGTGGAAACAGACTCTCATCAACAATGTTGTATGACATTCACAGGAGTTCACTATACTTCATAGTTTCATTTGCATAGATGACAGTTTAGTCTTACTTGGAAAACACAGTCTTTAAATTCATGAACTCTCAAAAATACAGCATTGTTTAATCAGGATACTGACATTAAAGACAGACCTTAAGACTCCTCAAAATAGAAATAGTAAATATATATAACAATGGTTTATTTTAACACTGGCCCCTTCCTGTATTAGATATTTCATAGTAAATCAGATTAATACATATTTCAATTTCATTAAGTTAAAATCACAGCAATTATTTTAATATTTTAAGATACAGTACATGAGAAGACATCACCTATCACTAGGACACCCTATCTCAAAAAACAAAACCAGTTCAGTGCTGTGGTGGACAGCTGTGATGTCAGCCCTTGCGAGGCTGAGGTAGACAGATGGCTGTGAGCTAAGGACAGCAGGGGCCACACAGTAAGTTCAAAGGCAGTCTAAACCATAGATGGAGACTCCATCTCAGAAACAAAAACAAAAACAAGCTAGACATGGCAACATAGCACTGGGAGGCTGAGGTAGGAGGGTCACAGATTGAAGCTCAGCCTGGAAAATTTAGTGATTTCTTGAGACCTTGTCTCAAAAATAAAGAGATTTTTAAAAAGGGATGGGTTTGTACTGCACTGTGAAAGCCTTGGGTTTAACCCCTAGTATTGATAAAAAGATTGAAAAAAGTACTAACTCATTGGCCAAACTCAGGAAATCATGAGTTCACACAGATGTACACAGGAAGTATGACCAAATATGCCCACAAAATACTTAATTAGAAGGCAAAAGACTAACTGCTGAGGAGAAACTTGGAAGACAGCGCTAAATCAAGCAACACATTCTCTGAAATGGGACAAATCAAAATTATGCACCACTTGATTAGATACAATAAGACTACCTGGGATTTAGCTCAGTGGCCTAAGCGTCTGCCTGGCAAGCAAGATCCTGAGTTCAATCCCCTTTAAAAAAAAAAATAGATACAATAAGACCACAGGATCAGGGCCAGAGATATAGCTTAGAAGCTCAGCACCTGCGTGGCAAAGCACAAGGTCGTGAGTTCAATCCCCGGTACCAAAAAAAGAGAAAAGAACACAGGATCATTTCTGTGATATTCCTGCCAAAAATGCATAACCCAAACTGGGCATGGTGGTGTACAACTGTAATCTCAGCACTTGGGAGACTAAAGCAGGACCACAGCCCAGGCTACAAAGTGAGTTTAAGGCAACCTGAGCTCTGTAGCAGGACCCTATCTGCAAAAGAAGAAGAAGAAGAAGAAGAAGAAGAAGAAGAAGAAGAAGAAGAAGAAGAAGAAGAAGAAGAAGAAGAAGAAGAAGAAGAAGAAGAAGAAGAAGAAGCATAACTCTAAATCTGTTCACAAGAAAACACCACATAAACCTAAATTAAGAAACATTCTGTAGAGTGGTCTGGAATCATCAAAAACATTAAGATCATAAAAGTTGAAGAAATATGAGAAACCATTTCAGACCAAAGGGGCTAAAGAGACTGAATGCAACAACTCCTGATTCAGAACTGGTTACTTTCATTGTATAAAGACTTTACTGAGAGCACTTGTGACATCTGAGTGTGGCCTGAGGGTAAGACTGTCTTTTTTTTTTTTAATTTTTTTTGGTCTTTTTCATTTTTATCGGTACTGGGGATCGAACTCACAACCGCCTGCTTGCAAGGCAGGTGCTTATGCCGCTGAGCTAAATCCCCAGCTAGACTGTCTTAATGTGTCACTGTTACCACTTTTATTTTGATGTTTCCTTTCTGCTTAGGTAGAAGAATGCCACTGTTTGTAGTAAAGATACCTTTAAGTGTCTGGGGAGGTAGTGCATCCTATGAGTAGTTAATGCTCAAATGGCACAGAAAAAAAGGTTTCCTATTGCACTTGCAAGTTTTCTGTAGGTTTGTGATTCCAACTTAAAATATCTACCAAAAAAATTGTCATCTACTCAAGAACGTTATAAGCCACTCTAAAATTTCAGCGTGCACCCCAGTGACACTTCATGTTCCTCCTCCTGATTTTTTTTTTTAACACACTTATTTCATTCATCTAGTTTTTTCATCCAAGATGATTCAAGAAGGATAGGATTTTTGTATTTCATTCACAGCTGTCTCTGGAGCTCTCAGAACATTGCCTGGGCCATAATAAGTTCTCAATAAATATTTAACAAATCAGTAAATGGGCCAAGTCTACTAAATAAGTGAATGGGTTTTTACTTGTTTTCTTCTGGTTTTTTGTTTGTTTGTTTGTTTTTTGTGGTTTTTGTTTGTTTTGAGATAGGTTCTTGCTTTGCAGTTAAGGTTGGCCTTTGAACTCACTTTGTAGCTCAGGCAGACCTCAAATTTGCAGAATCTTCCTGCCTCAGCCTTTTGAGTGCTGGGATTACAGGTGTGTACCACCCAGCCCATGCTGCCATACTAATTAAAAATATTCACTTATTTTCCAGGCTTGGTGACTGGCACACATCTGTGATCCTAGCACTTGGGAGGCTGAGACAGGAGGATCACCTTGAGTTTGTGGACAGCACAGGCTACAGAGTGAGTTCCAGGCAGACTGAACCGCATAGTGAGATCCTGTCTCAAAACGACAAAAAAAAGATTATAATAAAACAACAACTCTCTTAGGAAAAAATTTGGTAATTAAAAGTCATAAAAATATTAATATCCTTTAACCTATAAATTCCACTGCTAGAAATTTATTCTAAGGAATTATCTTAAGATATACAAAAACACTTATGATGGCAAGATGTTCACTATAGTTTTACACATATAAAACAAAAGAGCAACACAGTTTCCCAAAAGTTGGATGTTAGGTCAATTTCAATCCACAGATTAACATTCTATTTACTTAAAATTCTATTTCATTTTAAATTCTAATAATGTAAGGAAATACTTTTTATATACTATTATATGAAAGGGAAAAAAATAACAACTCTGTAGTCCATGATTGCAACTACATAAAAATATGCACTATAAAAAGACTAAGCAGCTATTGTATTATAGCAATTTTTATTTGCTTTCCTCAGTTTTCCAAATTATTGATACCCTGGTGGTGATTTACATTATGAAATGCCATTTACAATAAAAATGTATTTGCTTTTCTAAAATACATCATAAATAAAAATAGCTAGATATAAAAGGTATTAATCTCCTGAAAGAAAGCAATTGCTTAAAGATATGAAAATCAAAGACTGACTAGTCTACAATAAAATATAACTTAAACAAACACAAAAAAAGGTTAAGAAATGTCAATAGAGGAAAATGGTTTACATGGACTCAAAAAAAAAAAGCAAGAATTTGGCAGATTATTCCAGTACTGCTGAGACAAGACACCGTAAGAGACAAACTGCAAAACCACTGAAAAGGACATCTTCCTGTGGATCGGGTCATCATGCTTGTCAGGTCTGTCAAATATTCCACAAGACAAGCATCTTCTACTCTGATCCTGTGCCCATCAGAGAGCCTTTGCATCATTAGTTTGGCCTCTCAGCTATTTCTGTGTAGGAAGAGAATAGACTGGATCCCCATTTGGTCTCAGGAGCACCTGAAATGTGGCTAATTCAAATTGAGAGGTAAAATCCAGCCCAGATTTTGAGGGTTGCAAAAAGAAAAGCAAAATATATCTGTAGTGATTTTTACACAGATTATATGCTGAAATTTTAAGTATTTTGACTATGGTGGATTAAACAAAATATATTATTAAAATTCATTTTACCTGTTTCTTTTTTATTTAATATTGCCACTAGAGGGGCTGGGGATTTAGCTCAGCGGCATAAGAGTCTGCCTTGCAAGCAGGCAGTCGTGAGTTTGATCCCTGGTACCGATAAAAACAAAAAAAGACCAAAAAAAAAAAAATATATATATATATTGCCACTAGAAAATATTAACTGTTCTGTGACTTCTATCTGTAGATAGTGCTGATCTAGATCACAGAACAAGTATATCACACTTAACATAAATATGCAGTCTGAGTAAAAAATTAATAAGCACTCCAGTTTAGATACCTGATACTTTTTTTTTCTTTCTTATTGGTACCAGGGATGGAACTCACAACTGCCTGCTTGCAAGGCAGGCGCTTATGCTGCTGAGCTAAATCCCCAGCCCCTGTACCTGATAAATTTTCATGGCACAAGTCGGTCCAGCACAGATGGATTCAACTTTGCATTAAAAAAATCAAGCCCTGCAAAACGGATGGAGGATGGATGAGATCCCTGAAGTGAGCAAATCAAAGCTTTGGCACCTTTGAGGCTTTCCTGGCCACAAGCTGTTAGCTCAGCCATTTCCCTGTCTGCAGCTTCCCTCTTAGCTGATTATGTCATGTTTAGACTGTTCTTCAAAAGAGAAGCCTGTGAATTAGTCATCTTCGCTCTCCTAGTTGGGTGACTTAAACTGAGGTATCCAAAAGTTTGTTAAACACCCTACATTTGATGCCTCTGATCACAAGTCCATGGCTTCTTGACCAAGAAAAATTTGCACACAATTCCCCATTGTTTTTTCTTTCATTTGTTAATTGCACATGGCTTGTAAAGATCCAAACACATTAAAGACCCAGAAGAAAGTAAAATTATTTAATAGCATAAATTGAAAATGGTGAATCATATCCGATATGGAATAAAAGCTTGATAATTATTACAGTATATTATTTTATTATCAAGGACAAAGCATTGAGCTAGAGCACAGAACTGGTGTCATCGCTGCTAAGGGTCTACATTCCATGACTTATTTGTCCCTGACTCCAATGACTACTTGATATAGAACAGTAGTGAAAAGGAAAATAATTGACACCAAAAGCAAGAGTCACAGGATCAGTGTGACATTTTGGCCTCGATTGGCAGGAACTCCTTTCTCAACAAGCAGCTTCTCAATCAATGTCCTGCAGGTTATAAAGACAAGCTATCAACCTCATCTGCCAATAATTATTTTTTAAAATTGTTGCAGCATCAAAACAATTCTGAAAACGCAAGATCTCTCAATCCAAAGAGGAAAATATAAAAAGCTTCTAAATATTTACTCTCTCAAAAGGAAAATTTTGCCAGGTATTGTGGCCCAAAACTGTAATCCCAGCACTCTGGAGGCTAAGGCAGGAGAAACACGGTGAGTTTGAGGCCAGTCTGAGCTGCATAAGCGAGTTCAAGGCCAGTCTGGACCACATGGTGAGACCTTGTCTAAAAAAAAAAAAAGAAAAAGAAAAAAATCCTTTTCTGAGAAATGCTGTTACACATCAGAAAAATTTGGCTTTTTTTTTATTTTTATTTTTGTCTTTTTATCGGTACCGGGGATCAAACTCACGACTGCCTGCTTGCAAGGCAGGCATTTTCGCCGTTGAGCTAAATCTCCAGCCTGTTGGCTTCTTAATATAGAGGTATATGCTCACCTCAGATGACCCAAGTGGCTCTCATCCTACCCAATTTTGTGGCTGTTTTGTAAAAACCACGATAATGCCTGAGAAACTTTTGGCACTAGTTTTACTGAAGTTACAATATTTTACATTTGCTGATTTTATGGAAATATGTATCCATTCTTTGATAGTTTTATACAAATTGTGTATATTAAGAATTTAAATATTTTCTTCTTTGCCTTCATGGCTCCAACAAAACCTTTCAGTTACAAAAAACAAACTGGGACAAATATTCTCTGAAAGGTGATTTGATTCCAAATTTTAAAAATGTAATGACATTTTAATAGTTTGACACTTGACAAACCGTAATTTCATTGTCCTTTTATTTAATTTTGTTTTTTCAGACACGGTCTCACTATGTAACTCAGGCTGGCCTCGAGCTCCGTTGCCCTTTTCAAAGAAGAAAAAAAAGTCCTAATCCTACATTATAAGAAAAAAAAAGTCCTAATCCTACATTACGTTAGACCTTTGCAGAATTTCCCTTAGTGAAAGCTTTCTTTTCTTTCAGGAGCTGACCCCACCCGTGTAGCCTTTACCACTTGGCCTGGGGACCATAGTGGGCTCCCGCTAAGTGGCCGAGTCATTTTTCCAGCAGTGATTTGTCTTTAGGAACTAATCTGACCAAGTCAGCAGTTCTGGCCTTCAGGCAAGAAAACCTAAACGACGATTAGCCCCGAATACTCCGAAACCTCCAAAGGGCAGAAGTGGAGCTCGCTGAACAAAGCTCGCCCAGTACGAGCTTGAACCAAACCCAAGCAGCAGTAAAGTGACCTCAGTTTTTTGTGAGAAAAAACGGAACCAGCGAGCCCACGTTTCCACGTTAGAGATCTTAAAAACAGGAAGGCTGTTTGTAATTGCCGAGTAATGTCGTGATAGTCATGAATATGGGATTTCGAAAACTTCAGTATTTCAACTTAACCTAGAAAGAAGATAGAGGCGGTTAATAGCTAAGCACGAATTGTAAAATATTAAGACAATTGTTTTAAAAAGGCCTACGGACCCAGCGGCCAGGAAGCAGAAAGGGTCAGCGTCCAAAATGCTTCCGCAGACCGCTAGCACCCGAGCGCCCCGCGCGGCTTCAACCTCAGGGCTGCGCATGCGCAAGCCCCGCCTCCGCCCCGGGTGGCTGCTCATCAAGTCATCCTTATCTAGAGAACCAGGGGGGGCGAGACACCACCACGTGACCGGGACTGCGGCATTTCCGGCCCAATCCGAGACTTGGAAGAGCGCCCTTGTAGCGCAATTCGAGTTACCCCGTCTTTCCAGACAACCTCCATTGTTATTGTTAGGTTTTCGACGTGGCGCTGAAGTTTAACACTGTGGCTATGTATTAGTTTTTGCGTTGTGTCCCATTACTAAAATTAGGCGCACACTATAAAGAGCCTCTGTGGCGTTTCTCTAATTTAAATCCTTTGTGCTCTTTAAAACGCTCAACTCTATTATTGAGATTCCAGAATCGCTGGCCAAGGTCCGGTTGTAAATTTTCAATGTATCACTGTAAAACCCTTAAAGATAAGTGTCCTCAAACCTTACGACAAATAATTGACCCCCAAAACAGTAGCGGCACGAAAGCACTTGCCAGGTAGGCTCTAGAGATGTCATGATCTGTTTGCTGGGCTATCTACCCAGCCTGAAGTACAGGCTGGGGTAACTCGTGGTCCCTCCTCCACTTTCTCCACCCACTGCGGAGGAATGTGAGGCAGCCTGGGCCGTAGATCATCGACTCTTCGGGCTGGAAGGTAGGGACCCAGAAGGAAGTGCGAAAAGAAAATGACCGCTCTAGAGCCTGAATCCTTCCTAGACTGACCGCTGCCCTGTAACCTCAGCGGCAGTTCCCATCGCACAGCCCGGTGTACGTGGCTTGCGAAATAGCCAAATTTGATTTAAAAAAAAAAAAAAAAAACTCCACCAGAAAGGTTTTACTGATCACCTACCCCCCCAAAAAAAACCTCGATGCTGTAGAAAAGGATTTCTAGTGTGGCGGGGCGCAGTGGCGCACACTACTTATTTTGGAGGCAGGGGAGAGGAAGATGGCAAGTTTGAGGCCAATCTGGGTAACTTTACTAGAACTTGTCTCAAAAATTTTTTAAAACTTTAAAGTAGGGGCTGGAGATACATATCAGTAGAGACTTTGCCTAGCACATGAGATGCTCGATTTTCAGTCTCTGGTAGTGCAATTTAAAGACGTCAAGTTGCTTCAACTACAGTTCCATTACTCCTACAAATGTTTCTACAGACCTCGAAGTTTTGTCACAGCTCTGCATAAATTAGCTACGACTACTACTCACACTGTACCACGGGTCGGGCACTCTAGGACAAAAGCATCAAAGTGGAAAAACTATATGGCCAGCCGGGCACGGTGGCGCACGCCTATAATCTGAGTGCTCAGGAGCATCGCAGGGAATTCAAGGCGCAGCGAGGTGCCTGGGCTACAAAGTGAATTCTAGACTAGTCTGAACCATACAGTGAACCCTGCCTCAAAAAAAACCCAGATGGCTTTGGTAAACTCTGTTTTCAGTCAACCACAGTGACAGGGCAGAAATCACGGCCTTCGCCTGCAAGATGGTGAAGTATAAGCATTTCATATGAGAGCAGAGAAAATAGGCTGAGTGTATACAGGGTCAAAGTTAGGCCTTGAAGCTTAAACAGGTTTTCACCATTTCCTATTTGTTGGTCTGTGTTGCTGTTAACAATTAGTGATGTATCCCGTAAGTAATCAAGTCCAAATGATGCCTCCAAAGTAGTGGGACAATACATGGTTGCAATCACCTCTATCCTCTTCAAGGTCTTACTACCGAAAAAGGTAAATACACCTCTATGAAATAAAAATAGTTTGTGAACACAAGGCATTTGCACTGATTGACATACCTAGCCTTTTATTTTTTTAACCAGGTAACCATAGCCAGGTGTGGTGGCATACTCCCATAATCCCAGCATTTGGGAGGCTGAGACCAGAGAATCACTGCAAGTTCGAGACCAGCCTGGGCTACAAAGTGAGCTCTAGGCCAGCCTGAATTACATAGTGAGACCTTATCTCAAAAAAAAAAAAAAAAAAAAAAAACAGGTCACCCTAAATCTCTACATTGCAAGGGCTGAACTTACTATCTTCCAGCCTAGGGCTTCCTGGGTGCTGGAATTACAGGCCTGTACTACCACACCAGAATGTAGTCTCTTTAAAGATTCTCCTGAGATTAACTTACTCTGCAATTTCCATTTTGTGGTGTAACCTGTTCTCCTTCAAGTTTTGGCTGTTCAGTAGACTTGGAACCCAAGTATGCCTGGGGCCAAGTCCAAGTGCCAGCTCTCAGATCCTGGGGCTGTTGGTACAAGACAAAGGCTGCAGTAGTAGAATGCTATTTTAGGCAACAGCTGCAGAATGTCATTGCATCTACTACTAGAAGGAACAGAACAATTTTTATCAACTGAAAGAAATGTCCCAAAGCATCTCTTTAAAATACAGAAAAATCAAAACAAAACTAACAAAATATAGAACAAGTTTAAACATCATATGGTTTCTCTTATATGAAGAGCTCAAAGTATAAATTAAAGAGCAAAATAAAAGACAATAGGAAATAAGGATAGTTTACAAAAGAGAAGGGGACCAAAAAATGGCAGGAGAGGGAAGACAGAGGAAGGGAAAGGGCTCATTAAAAAAATTAAAGATGTGCTACGTCCATGTACTAATTCTCCACAATGAATGTAATCATTATATATTGTAAGCATGTACTAATAAAAATTAATAAAATGGACTGGGGAAATAGCTCAGCAGCATAATACCTGCTTGGCAAGTTCAAGGTCCTGAGTTTGATTCCCCGTACCAAAAAGTTTTTAATGAAATGCACCCCCTCTTCCCCCCAAAAAAAAAACAGAACAAGGAATAAGCCATTTAAGTGTTTTGAATCACAATCTTTCACTGAATTTCCTCATTATCTAACAATTTACCAAAAAGTTTGTTCAACCAAACCTAACCAAAAGGGAAAAGCCTTTCATTTTTTTAAAGACATAAAAAAATCATACCGATTTCAGTATACAATATCTGTAGTTGAAAATACTTCAACAGTGTCTCTTATAAAGCTCTATAATTTTATTTTCAATGATTTTACAAAATATAATCCAGAGGTTTTTGTTTTGTTCTTTTGAGACAGGGTCTCCCTGTGTAGAACAGGCTAACTTTGAACTCACTATGTTGCCCAGGCTGGCCTTGAATTTGAGCCAATCCCCTTGTCTCAGCCTCCCTAGTAATGGGATTACAGACCTGTGTCCTGGCTTGTTTTTTGTTTTTGTTTTGTTTTTTGTCTTTTTTTCATTTTTATCAGTACCGGGGACTGGCTTGTTTTTTAAAACAGGGTTTCCTTGTGTAATTCAAGTGGGTCTCGAACACTATGTAGCCCAGGCTGGCCTCCAACTTGCAGCATCCTCCTGCCTCAGCCTCCTGAGTATTGGGATTACAGGGGTGCACCACTCTACCCAGCTCCAGAAAACATTTTAAAAATCACTTTTCAGAGAAAATCAAAATAAGAGAAAAAAAACACTATTGTTTCAAGATAAACAAGAATTACATGTACTTGTAAATTATTAAAACATTCTGAAGATAAAACTATACAGTGTAAATTACCAAAAAGTGTCATACGATGAAACTAATCATTATAAGGGGCCAGGGATTTAGCTCAGTGGCATAAGCACCTGCCTTGCAATCGGCACAGTCATGAGTTCAATCCCCGGTACACAAAAAAAAAAAAAAGAAAGAAAAGAAAAGAAGCTAATCATTATAACAAATCTTCAATTTATTTGAAGCAATTCAGTTTCCAAAACTTTAAGTTACAGCAGTCACAGAAAAAATAGGGACTAGTCAGAAACAATAAAAGAATGATCAAGAGTACTGCATTTTTAAAATTTGTTTTTAACACTGTCATGGCTTTATTCAAAACACAGTTACACAAAAGTATTAACTTCAAAGTTTTTGAAGACAGGTTCTTGAGGAATTTAACACATTATATACACACTGCCGTACAAAGAGCATTAAAATAGGACCCAAAACTTCTACAAAATATAAAACCCACCCTTACTTATTTGCATGAAAATACCACCCACAGAGATACATAAGTCTTAAATGTCGTATGGAGGCGCTAAGTGTTGAGGTCAAACCAAAGAACTCTAATTATGATTGCACAATAAAATGATTGATAAGAAAGTCAATACACAGATTTACTTTCTAAAATAAGTATTTTGTACTTATTGATGGTATAGTATGCCATAAGAATGCTCAGGGACTAAATAGGACATTCCAATTGCTAAATCAGAAGAAAAATTTTAGTCTTCTGGAGATGCTAGGGCCCCGCTAAATTTATCCCTTGTTTTCAGCCAGTTTGCAACTTTTTTAGTTTCTCCACAAATAACTTTATAATTTTTACTTTGAAACACTAAGTCCTCATTTTTAAACTAAAAAAGCAGCAGCAATACCATGCTGGTTTAAATGTGTCTCAGTAGAGAAGTCTAACTTCAAATTGCTGACACTTTTTAAAAACTAACAAATAATCAAAACAATAGGAAAATTTCAGACAGCCAAGATTTAAAAAGCACAATTGCCTTGAACATGAAACTTCCTTGACAAAAAGGGAAATGGACTTGTCTCATCAGGCTGTTTAGGAGCTGGATAAGCACAGACTCACATTTACCTCAAATATTATTCTATTTGTAATGAGCATCGGTTTGGAAATACATCTTATTATCAATTTAGTTTCAAATATTTTTCCAACTACCTACCATATTCCAAAAATGTTATATCCACATTAAAACTATAGAAAGGATAATTAAAGTTCTACTCAGAAAAACTATAAATACTTTGCAGGGTTGATATCCAAATCCTTTGGGAAGCCAATGTAAATATAATTATCAACAGGCAATTCTTCGGGCTTTTAAGAAACACTAATACTACTTGCAAAAGCCTCCCTTCTTTCTCTCTTTTCTTCATCCTAATAACCTATGTTGTCAACCAAGAAGCATTATACAGTAAGTAGAACCTCGTTAATAAAACTGTATCAACAACATTCAGATCTGAAAAAAATTTTCAATTTCTTCCACTTATTTAAAACTCGGTCAGGTCTGAAAAGGTGACTGAGGTATGAGACTAAAGGTTTTATAGAAATCTACAAGGTGCCAAACCTTCTTCCAGGACAAAAAGTGGGACAAGAAGCAGAGGGGAGCACAGAAGCTACTGAGAGGAGAGAGAAGGCGAACCAGATACAGAACACACGAGTGTGGGCATCCCAGGGGAGGTTACCGCATGCCTCTGGACTTAATATAAGCAATCTTTTCTTCAAAAATAAACTCTTATCAGTCACCACAAAATCCACAAATTACATTAATTACTGAATAGCACCCCCAAAATCCAAAAAATACATTGCTCAGTAAGACCTGCATTGTCCTGCATCTGCTTTCCAACTTAGTTCATGTAACAAGTATCCAAATACCCTTAGCCAAAGTCACTGCCTTCAAACTAAACATCTCTGAATCATTTCTAAAAAAATAATCAACCTATCATTCGAGTCTATTGTCATTTCATATTATAGCTGACTGTAATTTTAGTTAATTTATAAATAACTTTAAAACCTTATGAATGAAATACACCCAACTACACATGTGTAAAAGTGATCTTATTTATGGGCTAAAAATGACTAATACACTGTGCTTGAATTAGAAAAATTAAGATACTAAATAAATTGCTAGAGAATTTCACAACGGTGGAAAGGGTCAATGAAAATTGTTCTCTACATACAGTCTGATCATTAATAGACAAGTCAATCTTAATTGGAATGATAAGGCAAAAATAGTAAAACCACACTTTTCCTATAAAAAGTTACACATTATCTTCTGCAGGGAATAGCTATCATACACAAGGAAACAAAGATGTGATCACTCTATTGCACACCCAGGAACACTAGGGAGTGTGGTCTCCGAATGATCTAGTCATCTTCCTCCTCCCCGTCATCATCAGCATCTCGTTTCCTCTTCTCCCCCCGGAGTCCTTCTTCTTCTAAGAGTTTGAGCAAAAGTATACAAAACTTAATTTTAACAAATGAGCATTTGTTAAGCTAAAAAGTTTTAAGTCTCAGAAAAAAAGTTAATAGTAAAAGAATATTCTAGATTTTTTTCCATTCTGAGATTTCTTTCAGCTTCAGTGTATTAAACAGATTTAACCATCTTAGAATGTCAGCTTGGTATGCACCCTTGTGGCCATACCACGAAGTACAGATCAAGGAGCTTGACCCACATGGAATTTAGTAAATTTCTTTTAGTTTAGTTTTGTTTTGGAGACAGGGTCTAACTAGGTAGTAGGCGCTGGCCTTGAACTCACTATGTAGCTCAGGCTGACTTCTAACTCATGGCAATCTTCCTGCCTCAGCCTCTCAAGTGCTGGGGTGACAGGCATGCATCACTACACTCAGCAGAATTTAGATAAATTTAAAAATTACTTTGAAAGACACAGGTAAAGAATACCAAATAGGGCTGGGGGTTTAGTTCAGTGGCACAAGAGCCTACCTAGCAAGCATGAGGTCATGAGTTCAATCCCCAGTTCCAAAAAAAAAAAAAACCAAAGAGCAAATCTACAAGGGCATTCTCCAGAGTGTAAGTATGCTTCTTTGCTTATAGATATTCATCTTCCCCAAAATGATAAAGATTAAAAAAAACCAATACTATGAGCTCAAGATTCCAATATCTCTTTATCCTGTTTTTAAAACATGTTATAAACTGTGCATGGTCTTGCATGCCTATAATCCCAGCAGCAGTTGGGGACTGAAGCAGGAGTATCAACTTTACACCAGTCTAGGCAACATGGTGAGTTCAAGAGTTCAAGGCCAGCCTGGACTGCATAGTGAGACTCTGTCTCAAAAGACCAAAAAATTCAGCTTGAGTTTGCTCTGAAGAAAAAAAAGGTGGTGGCATACCCCTATAATCTCAGCACTCCAGAAGCCGAGGCAGGAGGATTATTGCAAGTTCAAGATCAGCCTGGGCTACAAAATGAGCTCAAGGCAAGCCTGAAGTGCATAGCAAGACCCTGTCTCAAAAAAAAAAAAAAAAGGACCAAAAAATAGGCTGGGCAGTGATCCATGCCTATAATCCCAGCACTCAGAGAGAGGCTAAAGCAAGAGGATTAAGAGCAAATTCAAGGCTAGCCTGGACTATATGGTGAGATCTTATCTAAAAAAAAAAAAAAGACCAGAAAAAATAAAATACAATTATAAGCTGTTTAGTTTGTAATGGAACTAATGAATGCCCCAAGAAAATTACTCTTTAAAACAATTTTATAACTTTTACTAGGTGTGGTGGCACATGACAATAATCCCTGTACTAAGGAGGCTAAGACAGGAGCATGGCCACGAGTTCAAGGCTATTTTGGGCTACACTGTTAGTTCAAGGCCAGAACTGAATTACAGAGCAAGATCCTGTCTCAAAGTAACAACAACAAAAATTAAAATTTATAACTTTCAAGGCCCTCTATGATTAAAAAAACAAAATCAAAGAGCTCAATAATAATTTGCATTATAGATTTATTCCTTAAAGCCCATGAAAAATGTGTACACTTAATTTTAAAATTTATTTATGGTTAATAACTCACCCTCTTCCTCCTCTTCTCCTTCTTCAACATAGTCATCATCATCTTCTTCATCCTTGAAATTCAAATATTCAGTTTAAGAATAAACTGTGACTTGGATTTTCCACTATTTAGTACACCCCAACAGGAGCAAAGAAATTACTTACTCTGTGTTCTAAGAATCACAACTCTTATCTACATTAATAGAGGTCTTTTTTAAAGATTCAGCTACCTAATCTAGTTTAGGTCCGCCCCACCCTCTTTGGAAACAAGGTCTCACTATGTTACCCAGGCTAACCTCAAACTCAAGATCCTCCAACCTCAGTTAGAGGACAACCAGATTCTTAACAATAACTAGTTTTCTTTATAAAGGAAGTTGCACTTTAGATGACCACTATTCAAAACAGTTTCTACAACAATGGCAATGTTCTATATCTGTTATATAGTATAACTACCAGCCAAAAACAGTTACTGAATATTTGAAATGTAACCAATGCAAATGAGGGACTGGATTTTTAGCTTTCTTTCATTTTAATTAATTTAAACAGCCACACATGCCTACTAGTTACTATAACAGAACGACTTTTGACTACTTTAAAAACAGCATCCGCCAGGCTTGGTGGTGCATACCTCTAATCCGACAGTAGGGAGACTGAGACAGGAGGATGATTGCAAGTTTGACACCAGCCTGGGCTACAAACTGAGCTCAAGGCCAGCTTGAACTACATAACAAGACCATCTCAAAAAGACAAAAAAAAAAAAAAAAAATCATCAACCAGGAGTGGTGGCACACACCTATATAACCCCAACACTTGGGAGGCTAAGGTAGGGGGATCACCGCCAATCTGAGACTAGCCTGGTCCTCAGAGTGGACTCTGGCTCCAAAAACCAGAACAAAACAAACAAAAACTCAGGATCTATGGTAAATGTGGTAGCACATACCTATAATCCTAGCACTCAGTATTGTTACAGGTTCAAGGCCAATCTGTGCTACGTAATGAGACCTTATTTTACAAAACAAACAGTAAAATAGAACCCTCTGTTTTACAGAGGTAGGGATGATCTGAATCCTGGCTCTAATGTCAATATATGTGTTGAATAAATCAATTATCTCTCCTATACCTAAATTTTAGAGTCAGTGAAAGCAGAGTACAGGTTGAACTTTTTTAGTCTAAAATCTCAAATCCAAAATCTAAATCTTTTTAAACATCAAAATGCCACCGCAAATAGAAAATTCCACGCTTGACTTCACTTTATAGGCTGCAGTCAAAATGTGGGCACACTAAAAATACTGTATAAAAATTCCTTCAGGCCATGAATAAATTTCCTGTTTAGTCTTGAGTCCCATTCTGTCTCATTATATTTATGTAAATGTTCCAAATTTTGAAAAAATGAGAAATTGGAATTCTTGGTCCCATGTACTTCATGTAGGAGATACTCAATCCATATTCGTCTACAAAGATCTCTAACTAGTTCCTTCTACATCTAAAAATTTACACATCAAAATAACATTCGTATAAGCATGCGGTTGGGAGTTCGATCCCTGGTACCAAACAAACAAACAAACAAAAAAATGTCAACAAAAATCCATGTAAGATGAGCCACAGCTCTTGTGGAATGAGCTGTTCTACACAGAACAATGCTGCCATAAGCACACTATAAACATTTTATTTCCTCTGGCCAGCTGTGATCACCAAGGTATGCTGCCTCTTGTACCATTTAATCCCTATCACCTGCTTCTGGAATAATTAGAGTGACATATACACCACCAAGTAGTATAGGTGCATTCCCTCAGATCCTATCAATATATGTAGTATGGGGTTTTCTGAGTTGTCTCTTCCTAGTTTTTATGTCTTTCTTTTGCAATCAGTTATTATTTCAAATTTATTTTAAGAAATCACAAAAAGAAAAGAAAAGAAACAGTCAATGATACCAACAAGTCATCGAAGACCTGAATACAGTTTCATGTGAGCAGCGTCCTGCAGAGGAACATCTGCTTTACTTGTAACTTGGCTAGGCTACTCCCATCCTTTACGCTGCCTGCCTCGCCACTGGCCAGGATACCAATATTCTAGATGGATGAGGCACCACTACTGCATATGCCTGGAAAACTAACCTAGTCTAGGGTCTTCGCTTCACAAGTTTACTGCTCCTCAAAAACACTTACACTGCTGGATGCTGTGACGCGTGCCTATAAACCCAGCTACTTGGGAGGCTAAGGCAGGAAGACTGCAAGTACAACTGGCCTGGGCAACTTGGTGAGACCCTACCCCTCCTTTCTCTGTGAGATTGAGAACTGAACCCAAGGCCTTTGTTTATTAGGTTACAATCTTGGCAGTTTTAAATTTTCTTATTTTGAAACAGCATCTCACCGAGTTGCTGAATTGACCAGGCTGGACTTGCATTTAGCTTCTCCCATCTCACTGAACTAGAATGCGGGAATTATAGATGTGCACACTATGATCAGGGATGCTCTCTGAAAACTTCTTTTTACCAGGGATTGAACTCATGACCTCGTGCTTGCCAGGCAGGCACTTATATCATTGAGCTAAATCCCTGGCCTGAAAGCTTTTTAATAAGGGCTGAGGGTGAGAATATAGTTGAGTGATAAAGTGTCTCTGGGTTTAATACCTATTACCTGAAAAAAAAAAAAAAAAAATTGTTAAACGCCAAGAACCACTGTTCAGGACCACTTGGAGAATTTTCCATTTTTCACTATATCTCCATTTTTTATTTTATCTTATTTTTTATTTTATTTTATGTGTGTGTGTGTGAGAGAGAGAGAGAGAGACAGACAGACAGACAGAGTCTTGCTGTTCAATTTAGGCTGGTCTTAAAACTATTTAGCTCAGGCTTGCCTTGAACTCACAGCAATCCTCCTGCCTCAGCATCCTTAGTACTGTGATTACAGACATGCACCACCATGCCCAGTATCTATACTTCATTTGTGACTTTCTTTAGTTTTTAATTTTAATTTTTTTGTTATTGTTGTTGTTAATTTGGGGGTGGGAGCCTGGGAATCAAACTCTGGACCTCACACTTGGCAGGCAGGCACTGTGCTGCTAAGCTAAATCCCCATTCCTTCTTTTGTGTTTAGAAATATTAAACAGCTCAATTTTCTAGCATTTGGCTAGAAACCCAAACTAAAATGCATGATTCTTTTATCAGAAATCATTCTTATCAGTCAATTGAAACACTATTAAAGTATACCCATACAGGGTACCAGTCAGCTGCATGAACAGAAGAAATAAATAAGATAACAAGTTACATTTAAAAAAAAAAAAATCAGGGACCAGGGATATAGCTCAGCGGCACAGCACCTGCCTGGGAAGCTCAAGGTTGTAAGTTTGATTCCTGGTACCAAAATATCAATAAATAAGTAAGTAAGTAGCCAGTGGTGCATGCCTGTAATTCTAGCATGCAGGAGTCTGAGGTAGAAGAATCATTTTAAATTTGAGACCAGCCTGGTCTACAAAGTGAGCTCAAGACCAGCCTGAACTGCACAGTGAGACCTGTCTCAAAAAAAAAAAAAACATAATAATAATAATAATAATAATCAGAAAAAAACCTGATGCTTTAAAACTGAAGAAAAAGAAACAAATGCAAAAGTACTAAAGGGGGGCTGGGGATTTAGCTCAGCGGCATAAGCGCCTGCCTTGCAAGCAGGCAGTCGTGAGTTCGATCCCTGGTACCGATAAAAACTAAAAAGACAAAAAAAAAAAAAAAAAAAAAAAAACAACAACAAAAAGTACTAAAGGAGAAAAAGAATAGAGAACAAATAAGGGAAAGGAAGGAAGAGAAGATGTGCAGGTGCACACCGGTGAATGCAAGCCAGTGATTGAGGTCGGAAATAAGGGCCACATGTTTGCAGGTGTGGCCACGGAGCAAAATCCCCAGGCCTCTTTATTTTTTTTAAAAAAAGGATTCCATTGCTGTCTAGGCTGGTCTCAAACTTGTGATCCTCCAGTGTTAGCCTCCTGAGTAGCTGGCATTACAGGCATACACCACAACACACGGCTCAGGAAAAGATACTTTAAACATTTGAAATTTGAAAGGAGGCTAGACGTGGGGGCACATGCCTGTAATCCCAGGCGGGAAGACTGCTGTGAGTTTGAGACCAGCCTGGGCTACAAAGTGCATTCAAGACCAACGTGAACTGCATTATGAAACTGTCTCAAAAAGATAAAAGAAAAAAAGAGGTATAATAATATAGGATATTTCTTTTTTATAAAACTTGAGATACTAGCCATATTTATTCCTTGATAATTTAGAAAATTCCAAGTCTAAAAAGTTCATTAGTTCTCTTTAATTTTAAAAAATTTGATTCGAATGGCTCATGATTTTAATTCTTTTTAAAAATAGTATCTTCGGGTGCTGGGGATTTAGCTCAGCAGCATAAGCGCCTGCCTTGTAAGCAGACAGTCGTGAGTTCGATCCCCGGTACCAATAAAAAGGAAAAAGACCAAAAAAAAAAAAAAAAAAAATAGTATCTTCTTCTGAATAGTATCTCTCTATAAAAACAGCTTTTGCCAGAAATTTGCTCTTCCCTTATTTGGTATGAGTAATACAAAGGGCACATAATTCTCAATTTTCCTAAAGCCTTCAACTCCATTTTTAGTGACTTATAGTACATATACATGTTTTTTTTTTTTTCTTGCAGTACAAGGCACGGAGCCCATGCTAGCCAGCTCTATCACTGAGCTATATCCCATCCTTTTCTCACTTTATTTTGAGACAGGGTCTCACTAAGTTGCCCAGGCTGACCTTGAGCTTATGATCCACCTGCTTCTGCCTCCCAAATCGCTGGGATTATAAACATGTGTTACTATGCCCAGCCAGTGTCCTTCTCTGTACATATTCTTTCCCTTTGAAGAGCAGCTGAACTACAAATAAATAGCTAGGAAAATATCTAGCAGAAAATGTTATTTCCTTCTAATTTCTTTTTAAATACCAGCAGTCTCTGCAGCTTCCCCTGAAACTTACTTTCTAAAAACAAGACTTCATCCAAAACATCCAAATTATCCCATCATGAATGAAATCCTTCTCGTCCCTGCTATCCCACACTGACTTAATGTTGTATGTATTATCATAGAGATTTTTCCTCTACACCCGCTAATGTCCTTCTTGGTTAATATTTCTCAGTACTCAATAGAATAAATCTAAACATTTGTAGTTAGTTCTATCTTTCGTTGTTACATAGCTCCTAAATCACTAAGGCCTCAAACAAGTATAAGTCTTTATTTTTCCACATTACCTAATATTAAAACAGTATGCGGAAAATTATTACTGATCAGATGGTATCTACCTAACTAGTGTAAAAGGAATTAGGAAAATAAATAATACTAAAAATGTCTAGTTGAAACCACCAGAGTGAAGAGACAACCCACAATGTGGGAGAAAATGTTTACCAGCTCGTCTTCAGACAAAGGATTACTATCGAGAACATATACAGAACTCAGAAAAAAATCAGTCCTCCCAGATTTAAAGACCCAATCCAAAAATGGGCATCTGAGATGAACAAACACTTCTCAGATGAAGAAATACAAATAGCAAGTAAATAGTGAAAAGATGTTCAGCATCACTGCTCATTTGAGAAATGCAGATTAAAACAACACTGAGGTTCCACCTCACCCCAGAAAGAATGGCTACTATCAAGAAATCAAGCAATAACAAATGCTGGAGGGGATGTGGGGAGAAAGGAACCCTTCTCTGTTGGTGGGAATGCAGACGGTGCAAGCACTATGGAAATCAGTGTAGAGATTCCTCAAAAAACTAGGATTAAAGGTCCCATTCAACCCAGCTATTCCCCTTCTGGCTATCTTCTGAAAAGAATTAAAAACATCATACCACAGCAATATATGTGCACCCACATTTATAGCAGCACAGTTTATGACAGGCTGATCGTGAAAACAACCTAAACGCCCATGGACTGTGAAATGGATAAAAAAGATGTGGTATTTTTCCATAGTGGAATGCTACTCAGCCATAAAGGATAAACTGGAGACTTTTATAGGTAAATGGATGCACCTTGAGAACATACTCATTAGTGATATAAATAAGACAAACGTGTAAACATCATATTGCTTCATTAGTATGATAAACTATAAGAAAAAAACATATGTATATGTATATAAAAATTAGTTAAGGTAGTTATACTACTGATTTCTCTGAGTTCACTTAAGAGAAAGATTTGTGCTGGTACTGTTGGGACAATTGAAGGCAGATGTTGCCGGGGATTTAGCTCAGTGGCTCAAGTGCTTGCCTGGTAAGCATGAGGTCGTGGGTTCAATCCCCGGTACCAAAAAAAAAAAAAAAAAAAGGCAGATGTCTTGTACTCTGGGCGAATGATTTGGGGATGACAATGTACAATGTATGTACAACTAGTACCCCCTCATTGACATGCTTTGTAATTTTGCTGGGTTTTTTTCTCTTCTTTTTCTTTCCTTTTATCTATGAATAAAAAATGGATTTGAAAAAATAAAAATACCTAGCTTATCTGAGAAGTTGCGGGGGAGGCTTGAGGGTGTTTTGTTTTTTTTCAATGCTCAGGATTGAATTCCGTGCCACCAACATACTAGGCAAAGATTCTACCACTGAACTAAAATACAGCCCTAAGAGATATTTTTAATAATAAAAAGTTTATTATTAATAATAAAAAGGCTGGCGGTGGTGGGATATGCCTATAAGCCCAGCACTTGGGAAGCTGAGGCAGAAGGATCACTGCAAGTTCAAAGCCAGAGCAAGCTCACAGCCAGCCAGAACTGCACAAGGAGACCCTGTCTCAAAAAAAAAGTTATTTTGAATAATGAATTATGGAAACAAACCTCAATTTAACATTACGAGAAAGTAATTTCTCTAAACTCACAAGGGCCAAACTTCTCTAAACTCACAAAGACTTTCCCTGTGCAGTCAATGTATGACGTTTGGATATGAAGATGAGTGAATGGCCCTGCTCCCAGGTACTCACCACCCACCGAAAGTGGCCATGAAAGTTTCTCTCTCTCTCTCTCTTTTTTTTTGGTACCAGGGATCAAACTCACAACATCACGCTTGCCAGGCAGGTGCTTATGCCACTGAGCTCGCTCCCCTCCATGAAAGTTTTTACAAGTGTCTGGCGGCAGTGGAAGCCTGGGTTTAAAGGTAACAGAGAGGAGTGACTGCCTCCGAAAAACTCAAAAAGCTTCAATAATAAAGTTAACTCCACAGCTAAGGTGAAGGGTAAGAGTTCACGAGGTGTTTCAGGTGATATTTATACAGGTATATAAAAAAGGAAAATTTGACAGAGCTGTATGTAAGTTAATACACTTTACACACTTCATTATCTTTTTTATGTTCACCTCAGCACAATCAAAAAAAAAGTTCATTAAGAAGCCTAAACAGAGTCATTGCAGACAGGATGAACAGCAGAAACACAGACAAGCCACGTAACAACCTGGAGTGATAACTTAGCTCACTATGAAGGGAGATGTGGCTGCAGAAGGAAGCAAGGGTTAGAAAAAGTGAAAGGCACTGTGTGCTCAGATGGAACTGACCGTTAGAGGGCCCGGGCAGCTGGCCAGAGGGGCGTCTGCATTAAGACTACAGGGCAGACCACGGCGGGCATTCCTACAAGGGGATTTTACATGCAGAGACCATTTAGAAAGCTACTACAAGAGTTAAAACAAAAAATAACTGGAGGGAGGAAATTCTTGAGTGCCTACAATATGCCAGGGACTCGACATTTTAAAGGTATTATCTTGCTAAATCCTTAAAAACAGACACTGCCGTGGTGGTGCACACCTGTAATCCCAGCACCGGGCCAACAAGGCAAGAGTGTTAAGTTTGAAGGGTTCCCAGTGAGAACAAGGCCAGCCTACACTTTCACAGCAAGATTCCACCTCAAAGAAACCAAAATCAAATCCTTAAAACAATCCAATGAAGTTGGTATAATTGCTCCTTTATAAATGCAGAAACAGATGCTCCAAAATCTTTGTAGAAGATTTCCACCACACCGTGCCACTGAGGGAGAGAGGAAATCAAAAGCTATCTATGATTAGTTGATTACCTGACCATAATAGACTGGGCCACACTGGGAAATACAGGTAGACAAATACACGCAGATTCACAAATTAGGAAACAAATCTCACATTTCTACACAACTCCTTTTTTGGAGTATTTAACTCATGCTTAAGTAATTTTCAATGCAAAGCATCAATACAAAGCATCAAATCACCTGAATTTCTTCTTTCATTAAGTATGAGAGGCCCACTTCTTCTCCCTCTCCCAATTCTGAGCCTGCTTCATCTTCTTCCTCATCGTCATCCTCGTCTTCCTCTTCTTCCTCTTCACACCATTCAGGTAGACCAGCTTCATCTTCATCATCTTCATCTCCATCTTTTAAAATGTAAAAGATGAGCAATGCCAGGCACATGGTTCTGCTTGGTATACTGACCACGTCTATCCGTGCTGAATCACTTCAAATTCTTACATCAAGGTGTGAAAGCCAGCTCAGGATGATTGTTCTTAAGACTCCAGTTTTATAAAAATGATACTTATCATTTAAGAAGTAGAGTATCTAACAGTGATAATTCACCTTTCCAATGCATAGATTTTTATCAAACACTACATGCACTGAGGTTGAGTTTTACTTAATGGACACTTCAAAGCTATCATTCCAGTATTTTGTAACATACATCGTTTATCCATCAAGTTTAACAGTGAAAAATTTCACACAGTCAAAGCACTCTACTAACATTATTAACAGCTCTTCTGTTTAGCTGTTTAACATTATTAACTGTCATCTGATCTGTGATGCTTCTATTTACCTAAAAATGTACTTTTAGTATTTATTCTATGCTGGTTCTCAGCACTTAAAAACAAACTTCACACCCACCCTGGCTGCTCCCCACCCTCTCCACTCCTCCTCAACCCCGACCCACTGTCTAGCTCTACAGATGTGCCTTTTCTGAGGTGGCCCTTTTTTCTAGCTTCTCTCACTCAGAATGTTTTCAATGTACCAGCACTTGATTCACCTTTGTTTAGCCAAATGTTACATTTTATGGATATATCACGTTTTTTAACCCATTCATCAGAGGGCTGTTATGAATAATGCTATAATGAATGGTTCTTTTAGTTTAAAAAAAAAGTACTATGCCAGAAGCTACTGCTAATACTATGTGGTGGCCATACAAGGTTAAATAGATGTAAAATTTCATGGAGCACTGCATTACAAAAATCATTAATTTCTCTGAAACTATTAGAAATGTAAAACAATTAGGCTAGAGTCATTGGTTTTATGTTTTTCTTGGCTTCTAAGTATCCTGTGTGTTTTTCTTCTATACAACTAAGTCTCCAGGCCTGATCTAATTTGCATGGCTAGAGTGAAGGCTAAAATTATGACACATTATTAAGAATGATTACCTTCACTGGGCATGGTGGCTCACGTCTATAATCCCAGCACTCAATAGGCTGAGGTGGGAAGATCGTTGTGAGTTCGAGACCAGCCTGGACTACAAAGTGAGCTCAAAGCCAGCCTGAACTGCATAGCGAGACCCCGTCTCAAAAAAGACAAAAAAAAAAAAAAAAAAATGAATGATTACCTTCATCCTCCTCCTCTTCTGAGTCTGGTGCTTCGTTATCTTCCTGATCATATCCATCTAAATATGTGATTTGCTGCAGCAATTCAAAAATACTCTCTCGGTAATCTTCCAGGTTTGTGATCTCACAGTTAAACAAATCCAGACTTTTCAAATTTTTAAGATTTTGCTAGAAAAGTAAAAATTTACAGCCAAGATTTTAAGACCAGCCAGATGCATAGCTCGGCAGCACAGTGCCTGCCTGACAAGTGCAAGGTCATGAGTTTGATTCCCGGTAAAAAATAACATAACATAACATAACATAACATAAAATATTTTAAATACCATAGAGCTTCTAATTCATGATCCAGAAAATATTTGATAAATTTTAGAGTTTTAGAATTAAAAAAAAAGAATTTTATAACAGGATTATTCTATAAACATAACCCACTCTCTTAATTAGCCCCTTATATGTAAATTCCACAAGAGTAGAAACTTCTTTGTTTCTGAGTACTAGGATCAAACCCAGGGAGGAACCAAGCTGCACATCTCCACTTGTTTTTTTTTTTTTTTTTTTTTTAATTTTTTTTTTTTGTCTTTTTCCTTTTTATCAGTACCAGGGATCGAACTCACAACTGCCTGCTTCTAAGGCAGGCACTTATGCCGCTGAGCTAAACCTCCAGCCCCCTCCACTTGTTATTTTTTTGAGACAGTTTCTGCTACATTGTCCAGAACCCAAAATCTGCCATTCGCCCACCTCAGCCTCCTTAGTAACTGTGATTAGAGGAATTTGCTATTTATTCACTGCATCTTTGGTATTGTTTTAGGGTTTTTTGTTTTTGTTTTTTTAAAACAAGGTCTCATGATATAATTTAGGCTAGCTTTGAACTCACTATGGAGCCCAGGCTGGCCTCAAACTCACAACAATCATCCTGTCTCAGTCTCTTTCTCGAATGCTGGGAACGCAGGCATGTGGCACCACAACCAGCTCCTATTCACTATTTTATCTAGAGTATCTTAGTGCCTCATTTCTAGTAGGTGCCGATATATTTTTGCTGACTGAATGTGGTGTGCATAAATAGGCAGCAATATCATGCTCAACTTATATGCATACAGAAGCTTATTTCCAACAATTTCAACCTCTTCCCAATCTCTCTTTAAAAGCCAGAGCAGTTTCAGCTTCATTTAATTGTCTTTTTCTTCTAGCACACCAGAAAAAAGGGACACATAATGAAGTAACAAAAAAAATTTTAAAAATGGAAAAACAACAAAAGTCAAAATACTGAAAACAGTCAACTCTGAAAGCTGAAGATGAAATAATCAACACAATTTGTAACAGATTTTTAAAACTTCATCAGGGGCTAAAGGATAGGTCACTGGCAGAGCACTTGTCTAGCATGCGTGAAATACAATCGCTAGCAAGACAAAAAGTCTTCACACCAGGCATGGTGGTGCACACTTCATCCCTAACTTTAAGAGGCTATAACAGTGAGTAGCAAGTTGAAGGGCAGCCTGGGCAAGTCACCAAGTTAGGGAGACCTGTCTCAAAATTTCAGAGAAATGACCAGGCATGGTAGCACACACCTAAAATCCCAGCATGTGGGAGGCTGAGGCAGGAGGATCATCACTATAAGTTCAAGGGTAGCCTGAACTATACAGCAAAATGTCTCTAAAGTAAAAAATTTAATTTTTTCCCCCTAAGAAAATGGCTGGGGATAGAGCTCACTGCAAAGACCCTAGATTCAATCCCTGATATCACCAAAAATTAATTAACTAATTAATTAAAATAATAAAAATATTTTTAAAATAAAATAATAGATAAGTCTTCTAGGTATCTTATTCAGACGAAAAGAAAACCAATTAACTCTCTAGATCTCAATACATAAAATTTAACTGGGCATGTTTGCACACGCCTGTAATCTCAGCACTAATGAGGCTGAGGCAAGAGGATTGCCAAGAGGTAGAGGCCAGCACAGGCTACTAAGTCAAGGTAAGCCTGAATTACAGAGTGAGACCTTGTCTCAAAAAAACAAAAACAAAAAAAATTTTTTTTTCAGAATTTTCAAGAGTGAAATAGAAGCCAGGTGAGGTGGTGCTTGCCACTTGGGAGGCTGAGGCAGAAGGATCTCTAAAAGTTTGAACCCAGGTTAGGCTACATACTGAGTTCAAGGCTATCCAAGGGGCCAGGGATATAGCTCAGTGGCACCATGCCTCCCTGGCAAGTCCAGAATCCTGAGTTCGATTCCCAGGACCAAAAACAACAACAAATAAAGGCTATCCCCCAAAAAAGCCAACTTTAGGAGCAAAATACAAATTTATAACATAAAATACAAATAAATCTCAGGAAAAAAAAAAATCCAGAAACCAAACCTTTCTACTTACCAGAGCTTCTACTGTACTCAGATCTTTAATTTTGTTTCCACTCAGATTGAGGTAGGTAAGATTTGGACATTTCTCTGCTAAAACTTCCAAGCCTCCAGAAATTGCGTTGTCAGGAAGTTCCAACTATATGTTCAACATGAACAGAAAACAGAGAATGAAGGTTTAGGATAGATGCAGGATTTTAAGAGTACCAATTTAAAAAAAAAAAAAAAAAAAAAAACTCCAAGAGACCATCACTACAAATCATAACTTCTAGATTCCCATCTTTATCTGTTAAATAATAATTAGAATTCCTATATAATACGCTCCTGATTCAGTTTTGGTTCCACATTTGATTTTTGCGTTTTTTTTTTGTTTGTTTGTTTGTTTTTTGTCTTTTTGAGACAGGTTCTCACTGCACAGTTTAGGCTGGCTTTGACCTCACTTTGTAGCCAGGTTGGTCTCAAACTTGCAACGATCCTCCTACCTCAGCTTCCTAAGTACTGGAAATCCTGCCTCAGCTTCCTAAGTACTGGGAATTATAGATATGCATTAGCACATCTGGCTCCACATTTGAATTTTGATTCAGAGAAAAATATTTGGTAGATGTTAAATCCACTGGAAAACAATTCAAATAATAAATTCAAATTTCTAAAAGCAAGATTAGAGCTGATTCCAAAATCCTATAGAGCTCTTTCTCCTATCTCTAGAGACTTTAAAATTTCTAACTAACAGGCAAAATGATCCCTTCATTTGGCCAAGAACTAGACATAAAAGCCCATGATATTAAAATCATGATGCTCACACATTAATACATACTTACCTTCCGAAGTTTATTTAGGCTGGGAAGCTGGGCCAGTGAACATAATGCCACATTAGCCATACTCAGAAATTCTAGTTCTTTAAAAGTGTCATTCAGGCCCTCAATTTCCCCATTGACACACAGGCAATTATCAAGAACCAATTCCGTCACCTATAAGAGGGAACACACAAAGGATTACTTTGCAATCCGTTTAGTACAGAGCCTCATCTTGACACTATGGGAATGTGAATGTTAAAAAAAATCAATCCCTTGGTGCTGGGGATACAGCTCAGCCACACAGTGCCTGCCTGGCAAGCATGAAGTTCTGAGTTCAAGTCCCAGTTTAAAAAAAATACCAATCCCCAACACTTTCCCTGGTGGATACCAGAGTCTGCAGTCCCAGGTGCTCCAAAGGCCGAGTTGGGAAACTGAAGATTGATTGAGCCCAGAGGTCCAGGCCAGCCACAGCAAAATGCAAGACAGAATCTGAGAAAACAAACCTTCACCTAGATCCTTTTCATCCATCCCAAAATTGATACAGACCTTCCTATCAGTATAAACAAGAGTGATTTTTCAAATTTAAACTTGGACTGACAAGTTCAATGCCTGCTTCAAATCACTAAGGCAGAAAAAAATCTCTGAATTTTGAAATTCTGAAAAATGTCCCACTTCATGCTCCTGACCCTAATGAAGCAACTCCTCTACACAGGAGCACACATTTATGCAGGGAGGACTTGCCTAGAGCAAGAATCAGATGAGCTGCCCTAAAAGAGAGGAGGGAGAAGATAGGTGTTTTTATCACTTTTCCAATGCCATCATAACTCAAAAAAATCATGTTACCCTTTTATGTTGAAATGTCAGAAAGCTCCTTCTGGGCCAGTGCAGCTTTCAGGTGCTATCTGAGGCCAAATGTATCACCCAGAACAATACATGCTTGACAAATGTTATTTCTCTCTGACACTCTGATGGCATTTTTGTGGACTTTTTCCACAAAAGAGGAGATTCTTTCATAGGAGGTTGCCTGAGTGGATTTAATCACAAGGGGGAAGCAGGAGAGCCTGGTTCTCCAACACCAACACAAAAACATGTTTATTCAAGGGCTAAAAATTAGCATTACCTTCCCTGCTTGAGTATGAGGTTGACACAATTATTTCAATGAGCAAAGATGGTTTCACGATCTTTTTAGAGATAAAAAAACCAAGATCCAAAAAGCAAGAAATGATTTGCCTTGGGCATACAATTAGAATGTGGCAGAGCTGTGCCTTGACCCTTAAATCTTGCTGCTCCAACTGTGAGGTTAGTGGCAGGAGGGAGCCTACATTTGGGGTAGTGGAGTTCCACTGAGCTTGGTGGCACACACCTGTACTCCACACGTGGGAGGCTGAGGCAAGAGGATCAAGGCAAGTTTGAGGCCAGCGTAGGCTACACAGTGAGTTCAAAGCTAGTCTAAAACTACACAACATGACAGTGTCTCCCCCCAACAAGTTTTTCTTCCCCTTGTGTAAATCCTTACATTGCCCTGAGATTCCACTCGTTAATTTGGATTCTAGAGCAACACAATAAACCTTCCAAGTGCGTTCGAAGAAGAAAAACGCAAAAAGTGTTTTACAAAACTATCTATAAAAATATTTTTAAAAAACAAAACAAAACAGTATTACACCACAGGCGGAAAAAGGGAGGGGCAGCTTTGAAAAGTCAACGTTTTCCTATCCTCCAAATCTGGCCTGAAAATGACTACAGCTCTTTAGGTTTAAAAAAAAAAAAAACCTCAAATGTACGTTTCTGAGAGACAGCTTTTAAACTTTGACTGTTTCCTCCCAAAGTCCTAAGAATATGTAAGCAACAGAAAAGCTTAAATTTTCTCTGGATGACCCTAAGTGATTGTTTCCTCCTCCAGGTTGCCTGCCAATTTCAGGGAAATAACCCCCACTCCAAAGTACAGAAAGTGCTGAGTTCCCACTCTTTGCGAAAGCTCGTCCTCTTTGCTGGTACATCCAGGCACCATGCCACTTAAAAATAAGTGTGTGTGTGTGTGTGTCCTTGGTACTCCAGTACCAAGGCTTCTTTCAAGGGTGCAAACTAGATACGGTGTGGCCGCTGTCGTCTGCGACCCCCAGTGCAAGGCTCCTGGCTGGTCACAGCTCGCTCTGGGGACCTGCTGCTCCCACCGACCAGAACCACTCAAGGCAGGGGCTCCCCGGGGAAAACGGGGATCACCGCCCAGTCAGCGCCCCCTGGAGCCTCCGCCCCGGACGGGAAGGATCAAGGGGCCGGGGACGCCCGCGAGAAGGAAACGCCTCCCGCTCGACCACAGAGAAGCTGCAGGCGACCCCGCCTCATGTGGCCCCTCCCAACCCGGTCTCTTTAAGTCTAGCGACAACAGAGAACGCGCATCATTTAGTTTCTCCGAGCCTCTAGGACACAGAACGACTATGACCCATTTGCTGAGTCTGGTGAGGCCATCTCCAAGGATCAAAGCTGGAGCCGGGGCTACGGCCGCGCTACACGCCAAATGTTGTTATACGGCGCCGGAGCTGGGGGCGGATTACGTCTGGCGTCCCCTCCTCACTTCGGGTCACCACGACGAATCCCAAGACTCAGACGGGTCGGAGGAGGCGTCGCTGACCCAGATTCGGCCGGGGCGGACGGCACGCGCCGCTTCCCGGGGGAGTGGGCGCCGCCGGGGCGGGCAGCGCGGACTCGGCCGGCGACCCCAACCCGGCGCGACGCGGGGCTTCGAGACAGGGGGCGCCCACCCCCCAGGAAAAACACAGAGTTGGCAGCGGCGCAGAAAAGTTGGACTAACTTCTCAGGCTGCGATGGCTGCAGCTGAGGCGAGGGACCAAGGGTCGCGCCCACGCCACCGGCCCAGGGAGGACGCGCAGCGCAGAGCTACGAGCGCCCTGGCCGCGCTTCCCGTTCCCACGAGGCCGGGACGCCCGACTCCATGAGCGCGAAGCCCCCGCGCACACAAAAACGCCCCTAGAAACTTAAGCCCTTCGCCATTTTAAGTGGATGTTCTTAGTGATTTAAAACTTCAAATTATACGTTTTCCCCAATCGCATTCTAGGTGAGAATTAATCTCTTAGCCCTCCCCACACACCCATCAGGGCCCCCCAGAAATCCGATCCAGAGAACACAGGGCTGGCAGGGAAGGAGTAGGGGGCTGAGTCATCTCACCTCCTCCGGGGCTCTGTTCCTTAACTCCAGGTTAATCCTCTTCTTCATATCCATGTCCTCCTCCTGCTCTTCTGCCACTACTCTCCTCCTTTCTCCTTTCCTGCTGTTCCTACTACCCCCAACCCTAAAATTTTTGAAAATTTGGAAATGAATGAAAAGAATCGCAAATATAAACGCCCACTACCACCAGATAGGTGTGGAGGAGAAAGAAAAGAATAGCAAATGGAGTCCAAGGAGTTGGGACTAACTCGTCTGCCCCCACCTCCTTGTCTACACACCCGCGCGCGCACTCACACGCACGCACGCACACACACACTCACACACCCGCAGTTCCTTCCCCTTCAATGGCTGCTCAGAGACTGAGCCTCCATGACACGGCACCGCCAACCCCCTGGCCTACTCTCCACCCACCTCCCGAACGTATTGGTTTATTTTTCATCATCACACTGTTCCATTGGATGAGGTAAGTGTCTATCAGCCTTCAGGGCGGACCCGAACTAGAAACTCTGTGGCTATTGGCTATGAGCAAGCGCGCAGTTAACTCTGATAGGTCCAGGAGGTTGTACGTCCCGGCCAAAAGATTTTGAATCGTTGTAGCCCCCCTCCTGTTCTTTGTGTGGTTGGCGCGCTTTCCTCAGGCCCTGAGACGGTTTTGATGTCTGTTGTACTTGTTTTGTTTGGAGGACTTTGTCTTCCTGGTTTAGTGTTAAAGGGAGGGCGTAGACATCCTTACATGTCCAATTGTATGCTAATAACGGCGCACAGCACACACCAACTCTTGGTCTGCTTTGCTGCCCAAGTGTGCAGCAGCGTACACATCACATTACACGCGTGCCTCTGGTACTACTCTGCTGGGGACGCGACCCCCCACAGACTGTCTTCAGCAGCGCAGAACCAGAGCCGTGATGAAAATGGTGTTTTAACTTTCACCACGAAGGACAACGATGTTTGTAAGCAGTTAAGTGAAGCATACAAGTTAGAGACCTTTAAATAGAATTATCTGGAGGAACTATTACTGAGAAATTGTTGCTGATAATAAATGTTGAGATCTTGAAGGTAAAATAACATGTCCTACTGAATCAGACATTAATTCACAAAGAACGGTACAGAAATACCTAATTTATCACTAGTTAGTTTCCACAGAAATCTGTAAATGCAATGAGTTGTTTTGGTTTGGTTTGGTTTGGTTTGGTTTGGTTTGGTACCAGGGACTGAACTCACATCCTTGGGCTTGCCAGATAGGTGCTTAAGCTGCTGAGCTAAATCCCTGGCCCTTGCTTTCTTTTTTTAATGGTGTCAAGTTTCACGTTTACTAAAGGTAGGAAAAAAACAGAAGGATAAGGGGAAAACGGGCTCTGCAGAGCGAGTTTGGGGCAGTAAAAGAGGGTGGGCTGCTGTGAATAGACATAGCCTAAGGTGCTTCTGCCTATGTAGGATATTAAAGAGTAGGAGAAGGATGATTTTTAAATATTTTGTCTTGAGGATCTAACTTTAGTTATAGTTCTCGCATAATTTCTGCCGACATTCCTTACATCATTCCCAGAATAAATACTCCAAGAAATTCCAGATGATTTGAAAAAAAAAGTGTGTAAATCCTGCCACCTGGAACTGAATGTCCTTTTTCCAGTTTCTAAGGTGAAAGACCTTGGGAACAGGAATCCTTGCCCCTCCCACATAGAGACACAAATAGGTTTACATTTAATAATAATGTAAATCACAAAACAGCTAGGCATGGTTGTGGAAGTCTGTAATCCCAGCTCTCAAGAGATTGAGCTGGAATACCACAAATTCGAGGCTAGTATGGAACGTAGAGTGAGACCCTATCTCAAAATACTCTCCAGACAAAAAAATCACAAAATACAGCACCTCTTGGAAGTATTTGAAGATTTAGTTTAGTTTAATGCAAACAACAGTAATGAAAATCAGGATAATATGCAAACTGAGGCACAATGGAGTGAGAAACAGTTCAAGTAGGAATTTAAAATTCAAAGTAGGGGATATATCTCAGAGATATAGCACCTGCCTGGCAAGCACAAGGTCCTGATTCAATTCCTGATACCAAAAACCAAAAAGGAAAAATACAAAGGGATTATAAAATATTTTTAAAAGAAAGAAGAGGAGAGAGAAGAGGGGAAGGAAGCACAGAAGAGGAGGAGAAGCAAAAAGAAGAGAAGGAAAAAGAGGAAGAAAAAAACGCGCAGGAACACATTTTAGTACAGCCTGGGAATAAATCCTGAACTGTGATCCAACAATGTGCCACTTTGGAGTCTAGAATGGAATCCAAAAGAGTTCAGGGAAAGAAATTCAGTTTTAGGAATCATCCACATGCAAATGATAGCTGAGATCATGCAAATACAAGATGTCTATCAGTAGTGGACGTACAGTAAGACTATCAGTAAAAGGAGAGCAAAACATAGTTGAGAAGAGACAGGAAGGAGGAACTGTCTTCCAAAGTAATCAAGGAAAAAGAGAAGAAAGAAAAAGCAGAAGCCAAAGAGACAGAAAAGGTAATTAATGAGGTTAAATAGTAGGTTTTAAAAGAGGCCGCTTTTTTCCTCCCCCACCCCCACCCCAGCGCCGCCCCTGGCTGCACCCCACTAGCTGTGAGCTCCCCACTGGTGCTAAGCTCCTGTGGCCGCTGTCTCCCTTCAGCCTACATTATGATTATCTATCCGGACCTCCTCAGCCAGGATCAGAAGTTCTCCAATATTTACAAGATCCGGGAGATCAGGGGCTGGGGATTTAGTTCAGTGGCGTAAGTGCCTGCCCAGCAAGTGCAAGGTCCTGAGTTCAATCCCCAGTACCAAAAAAGAAAAAAAAAAAAAAAAGATCCTGGAGATTGCGGATGGGTTATGCCTGATGGTGGAGGGCAAGATGGTCAGTAGAACAGAGGGTAACTGAGGACTGGCTCACTGGTGGAAATGCCTCCGCTATGACCCGGAGTGGGAAGGTCCCACAAGCACTGCAGTCATTGATTTGTCATGAACCATCACTTGCAATAAACCAGCTTCAAGGGCTGGGGATTTAGCTGAGCGGTATAAGTGCCTGCCTTGCAAGCAGGCAGTCGTGAGTTTGATCCCTGGTACCGATAAAAACAAAAAAGACAAAAAAAAAAAAAAAAAAAAAGATTATATGAAATCAAAACTTGAAAAACAAAGGCCAGAAAGAGTAAAACCGTTTATGACAGAGGCTGCAGAACAAATCAAGCGCATCTTTGCTAATTTCAAAAACTATCAGTTCTTTATTGGTGCAAACACGAATCCAGATGGCATGGCTGTTCTCCGAGACTACCGTGAGGCTTGTGTGACCCCATTTATGATTTTCTTTAAGGATGGTTTAAGAAGTGGAAAAGTGTTAATGGATTTGGTAGTTACCTTGGATCTATCATTTGGCATAACTGCTGCTTGTCATCCATACAGAACTAAGATTTTTAAACAAATGGGACTGATGTCATCTTGAATGCTTTATTTTGGCAGGAGAGGAGGTATTGTCTTTTAGGGAAAAAACACATGTCATGTAGGTTATCTAAAAATAAAGTGCATTTAAACTCATTTGAAAGAATGCTTCTTAGTTCAGTACATTATAAACTGCGCCCATTATAGTGTTTGTGGAGAAAATAGAACCTGGTCACAACCACTGCTAAAACGCATAACACTGTCTTCAAATAACTTCTGCGGTGGAAACTACTTCTGAGATTGGAACATAAGACAAGAATCAAAGTTTTCATTGTGAGTTGCAGTGAAGAAGAAAAGGCTACATTGTTTATAGCAGTGCCAACATTTGATGTGGAGCCTTATATATTGCATCACCTACAATGGAAGTAGTTAATCCTGGAAATGATTATAAAAGAATAAAAAGACTTAACTTAGTTGGGAGAGGGGGATAAATAAACAAATAGAGATAGGATGGGTGGAGTCGGCACACCTATAATCCCAGCAAGCCTGAATTACATAGTGAGACACTGTTTTAAAATACCAAAAAAAAAAAAAAAAAAGAAAGAAAGAAAGAAAAAGAAATAGAAGAAGAGATTGGTTTTTTGGAGTTTTGTTTGTTTGTATTTTTGTTTTTGTCTTTTTGAGACAGGGTCTCGCTGTGAAGTTCAGGCTGGCCTTGAGCTCACTTTGTAGCCTAGGCTGGTCTCAAACTCGCAAGGATCTTCCTGCTTCAGGCTCCCCAGAGCTGGGATTACAGGCGTGAGCCACCACACCCGGCAGTTTTTGTTTTTTTGGTACTGGGGTTGAACTCATGACCTTGCACTTACCAGGCAGGTGTTTATTCCACTGAGCTTAATCCTAAATCCCTTTCTAGTCTTTTTTGAGGCAGAGTTTCATTATATGGTTCAGGTTTACCATAGGCATGCTGGGATCACAGGCATGCACCACCACGCCCAGCCAGAAGTCCTACCATTTAGACACAATAATTAAATTTGGCATGCCAGCACTTGGGAGGCTGAGGTAGGAGGATCACTGTGAGTTCAAAGCCAGCCTGGGCCACACAGTGAGTTCCAGATCAGCCTGAAACACATAGCAAGACAAGACAAATTAATTAATTAATTCAGTCCCAAGATTGAAAAGGTGATAACTATTTTTTTTAAAAAAGGAAAAATATACAATGGGTAAAGTTCTTGCCCTAGTATAAATTACTGCACGGTCATGGCTGCGGTGGTCTAACCCGGCAGAAGGCCACAGCAGGACCGCCCACCACTCCCTGCTCCTTCCCCAGCCCTAATTGCAACTCCCCTTCCTGTTTGCACAGGAAGAAAACTCCAATCAGCTTCCAGCGTGTCATCACTGCCTGCCCTAAGCTCCACCCCCGCTCAAAGGCTACATACGTCCCATATCCCCCACCCCATATTCAGGTGGAAGGAGGCAACGCAGCCAGTATTGGTCGTGTACTCCTTCCCATGTCCTCATCGCAATAAACCTGTTCTCTTTGTACTTTAGCTTCTCTGTTACACCAGAAACCTCTTCCAGGTAAGGAGGATGTCCCTACAGAGGTGGACTTCCTCCCCTAGCTACTGGGACTGCAGTCGGAGAACAGTCCTGTTAGCAGACAGCCTGTATAGGTGACTGCATTGGCTGAAGTAATTATCTAGTTAAAAGTTACCCTCCTGGGGCTGGGGCAGCGGCATAAGCACCTGCCTTGCAAGCAAGCGTAGTTCGATCCCCGGTACCGATAAAAATGAAAAAGACAAAAAATAAATAAATAAATAAATAAATAAATAAAAGTTACCCTCCTGTGGGGGACATCCCCATCCAGTGATTAATCAGCACACTCACACACAGGTCCAGCCTGCCGTTTTGCCTAGACCAGCAGGGCCTCTGATCCCAGCACTTGCGAGACTAAGGCAACAACAGTATGCTGCA